CTTAATTGGATTAAATTGTTATTTTGTATAAATAACTAAAATTGACATTGGTAATGCGAAATTGGATGATTATTGATATATGTAGTGGAGTTGGATGCGTGTTGTCTCTCACTTATAAAAATTTGAATAATTTATCTATTGAAAAGATTGTATATCTGTTTAGAAATATTTGTATTGGGCTGTCGGTGGAGGATAGCTATGATGTTGTACAAATTGTATGAGGATTAGGTAAATTGAAACTAATCTAATGTTGGTTGTCATTGAATGTGACTATGCTTTAAATACATTATATGTGTATGATATTTGTGAGGAGAAAGGGGATGTATTTCATTGTTTGGGAGGAGATAGAGGATGGACTCCATTGAAATTAAGTTGGTCGGAGTGTCTAGGGTGAAAGTCCCGAAATCTCGTGTATACATGGGTACCGATCCCGCGGACGAAATTTTCGTAAAATGACAGATTAAAGTGCTTGTGTAGTAATTGTGTTATTAGAGGACCACTAAGTTGTAGTTTCAGTTGGGTTGTCGAAAGATAATCGAATTGGCTCATGAATTGAGAAGAATAAATTAACTTGAAATGAATTGAAGGAAAATGGATTGAAACATGAACTTTGGGACTTTACGATCATATAAAATGTGAATGTCTTGTCACAAGCATTGTATATGCACATTGTACTTATGTCTTTATTAAATATCATATATTATGTAGATTGTTCCTACTGGATTTTGGCTCACCTTATTTGGGAAAATCATTTTCAGTTGTTGGTGACATGCCTTCCCCAAGGCAATAGCATTTGAGGGACTTTTGGGAGCAAGAGCTTCTTTATTTTGTTATATTCTTTGTATAGCCAAGGGCTTAAATTGTATTGAGCTAGACTCACTTTTTTGTAACTAAGTAATGGCTTGGAAATATGTAAGCCTATAGGGCATATGACTATCTATTTAGTTTCAATTCTCTTATTACTACAACACATGCTGTAGATTCAAGATGAACATTTGTGAATGTATATTGCATGTGTTAATTTTTGTAAACGAACTCTGATGAACGAAAACATATTATTTCTATTAATATTTTGTTTTACGGATTGGATTTATTGTAATAATTTGGGGGGCGTTACAAATTAAGAAAATCCCGATTAACTAAGTTTCATTTAATTTTTATTTTACAAAATATAAAAAAATTAAATATAATTATCATATTTTTATTAAATAATATATTATTTTATCTCGTGCATAGCACGGGTGATATGATAGTCTTATTATATAAGGAAAATGGTATTTTTAATGATAAGGCTTGTGGGAACTCTAAACCCTCAAACTAAATTTTATGATTTTTTGATTTTTTAAATAATTGTGACAACCCCGACTCATGGTTAGCGCTAATTCATGATTAAGCATACTAAGCAAATGATTAAGACGAAATCCTAAATTAATAATATGAGTGTGTTGCTTTAAATGCATTCTTATCTGTTTGATATAGAAAGATCTGTTCAAGTTTTAATTTCGATTTGCGAATTGAAAGCCTTATCAGCAACCAATTCAGAAATTGACTTGTTTTATATGCTAATTAGGAATTATAGAATTTTATGGTAGGTTTAATTGAAATCCAATTGGAACGATTAAATCAGAATAAATAATGCTAATTAATTTAGCTTAAGTTATTTACATGTTTGCCATTAAGTGGGCTTTTACAAGACCATTTTTGCACTTTATACATGTTTTGACACCATCAATTTCCATCTTCTTGCACAAAAACATGAGAGAGAGAGAGAGAGAGAGAGAGAGAGAGAGAGAGTAGGAAGGAAATTGAGCTTAACAAGACAATTGCTTGAGATTTAGAAGAATTGAAGATAACTTGGAGGATTAAGCTACCACACTTGGGAATTCAAGACTTAAGGTAGGAATCCACCCTTTTAATTGTGAAATAAAGTTGTTTAATGCATGGGTTCATGGAAATTAGAGACTAAAGTCAAGAAATGGCCTAAAGAGTAGATTTGAGAATCAATTCATGCATGCATGTCCATATCATGGAGTTTTGAAGTTGTTTTCATGAAATTCTCACATGCATGTTCATATTATAGTTGTAATCTAAGAATTCATCATGTTTTGGGAAAGAACATCTCATGTGATCATGCGTTGGAAGTTATGAATACATACATGGCATAACTACATCATGTTCTTTCATTTCAAGATGAATTTTGCATAATTGACATGCTTTTGGGCCTTGATTTCATGAAATGATCTTTAAATCATGATGCGTTATGAGTTTCTAAGTGTTTTCCAGAATTTTGGCCCAAAAGGATGAGTTTTGGAATTTGAATCCATGGTTTGAATTTTGGGAGCAAATCTGGAAAACCCAGAATTTTTCTTCCATGCTCGAGTGAATGATTTCACACTCGAGCGACCACCTTCATTTTCGCACTTTCGCTCGAGTGACAAAAGGCTGGCTCGAGCGTAAATTGCAAGCTCTTAAAAATTTGCGTGTGTAGAAACACGCTCGAGCAACAAGACTTGCGCTCAAGCGAGGAATTGTGTCTCACGCTCGAGCGAGCGTTGAACGGAGATTTTATGCAACCAGAACTTTTCACATTTTTGTAGATTGCTCGAGTGAAGGAGTCTATGCTTGAGCGACCACTCACATTCAGTATGTCCGCTCGAGCGAAGAAAGTTACGCTCGAGCGAGACCCCTGTTTTCAGCAAGTTTTGAAAAACATTTTCAATTACACTTTTGCATCCCCTTTCCATTCTAGGCATTCCTAGGCCATAATTAAGACATCATAATGAGGAATGATGAAATAGAACCCCACCAAAACAAGAAAAATGAACTAAGTTATCAATTCCGAGTGTGTAATTTAGTGTGCGTTCATTCTGTAACTGTGTGGGTTTCGCACCCAAGGAAACTGAATAGCCTGCTTACAGCCCTGTTATCTGTGAGTAACAATGTTGTAAAGCTATGTTCAATTACAATTATTTTTTGAATGATTAACTGTACTGTTTTCTGAAATAATATTGTTTACTGAATGAATGTTTGTCCTATTTTACGAATTGTACTCGTGGCATCCATAGCAATTGACTGTTACTGTTACTGCTACTATTACAGAGATCTCTGTCAGTTTCAATCTTTGGAACTACTATTACTGTTACTGTTACTGTATTGATGGCCATCAACTGACTGTTCGGTCTATTACGACCTACTGTACTGTTCTGCTATTGAATGTACCACCATGATTTCTAACTGAATGATATGACTTGAAATATGAGATATTAAATGAACAACTGATATACAAATATAAATGACTGTTTTAATTACCGAAAGGACATTCATTCTTAACCCCTTTACACATTCGTTATTCACTGGGCTTTAGCTCACAGTTTATATATATGTAGGTGGCCAAGCACCGAACCAAAGCTAGAGGCGCCGACTTAAGCTCATGTTTTGAATGATTAACTGTACTGTTTTATGAAATAATATTGTTTACTGAATGAATGTTTGTCCTATTTTACGAATTGTACTCGTGGCATCCATAGCAATTGACTGTTACTGTTACTGCTACTATTACAGAGATCTCTGTCAGTTTCAATCTTTGGAACTACTATTACTGTTACTGTTACTGTATTGATGGCCATCAACTGACTGTTCGGTCTATTACGACCTACTGTACTGTTCTGCTATTGAATGTACCACCATGATTTCTAACTGAATGATATGACTTGAAATATGAGATATTAAATGAACAACTGATATACAAATATAAATGACTGTTTTAATTACCGAAAGGACATTCATTCTTAACCCCTTTACACATTCGTTATTCACTGGGTTTTAGCTCACAGTTTATATATATGTAGGTGGCCAAGCACCGGACCAAAGCTAGAGGCGCCGACTTAAGCTCATGTTTTGTCAAGCCAGCCATTGTGCATCACTTTGAGGTTCCGAACCTGCACGAACCAAGGCTTTTTGGGTGGTTCTATCCACTCCTTTTGCTAAGTGTAATGAATGTCTAAGACTTTTGATTGTACAGTTTTCATGATGGGATTATGTCCCTATCTTGTATTTGCACTTTGTTATAAGTGGTATATGATTATGGCATTGTGCATGATAGTTTATTTCCATTAAGGTCTTCACAGCTCATTAGACACCATCGTATTATTGAATGGCTTCCGCCAGCCCCCTTGATATTGTATTATCGTCATTACTACTAAGTAGGCCTTTGGTAATCACAGATTACTGGCCGGTTACGATGCTAAATCCTTAGGGGCGAGTTTGGGTCGTAACAGAGTGGTATCAGAGCACAAGTTATACCGCACACATGTGTCCAAATGAGCTATAGGATGTCCTAGAAAAGTAATTAGGGCATTGCATAAGCATAAGAAAGTGTGTGTGGTCATGATATGTATATATGTGCTAATGTGCATAAATAAGCTATTTTTTTCCCCTATATTTATTATTATTGTATTATATATAGTGCAATGGAGAATGCAAGAAATACCGACAAATCTGAATCATTTGAAATGAGAATTGCAAGATTTGAAAGAATGGTAGAATTATTGACCGAGGCACTAAGACAACAACAAAACCAACAGCTCCTACCCCCTCTAGTGTAGCCAGAACCAAATGCCAACGATGATGTGATTGCTTTGACACAAAAGTTTAACCAAATGAAGCCACCAACATTCCAGGGAGGTCTTGAGCCACTGAAGGCCGAAGCATGGGTCCTAGAAACTGAGAAGCTATTTGAAGTATTTCCATATTCAGAGGCACATAAAGTGTTACTGGCTACTTTTACTTTACAAGAAGAGGCTAGACAATGGTGGATGCTTATTCATGATACAAACAATGCTATGACTTGGACTTAGTTTAAAGAATCTTTTTATGAGAAGTACTTCCCTCAGTGTGTCCGGGATCGTAAAATGACTAAATTTGAACAGCTAAAGCAGGGTACCATGTCAGTTGCTGAATATGAATCTAAGTTCACTGAGCTCGCTTGATACGCACCACACATGGTGGATACCAACTATAAAAAGGCTAGAAAGTTTGAAGATGGGCTTAATGTGGAAATACTCGATCGAATTAATGTCTTGAAATTACTCAAGTATGCAGATGTCCTTGACCGAGCAACTATAGTCGAGGCAAATGTTACAGTATTGAAACAGACTAAGGCACTGGTGACTGAATGGTGGGGCAAGAGACAAAATTTTAGTTTCAAAAAGGGCCAGAACAGCTCATTAAATAAAAAGCAAAACACAGGATCAACAAGTAGCTCCAGTTAAGGAAATAATTCTTTATCACCTTGTCCAGAATGTGGCAGAAGACATAAAGGGGTTTGCAACAAAATTTCTGGGGCATGTTACAGGTGTGGCAAGGTGAGCCACATGGTCAAAGATTTCCCTCTCACATCTCAAGGCACTAGTAGGCCCGTAGCCAGTGCTGTAGCATCAACTGTTACACCAAAACCCAATCTCAAAGTTACGGGAAAGGAACCTTGGTGTTTGCACTTGTACCAGGAGACGTGCAAAATACTGAGGCAGTTGTGTCAGGTATACTCTCAATTTGTGCTCAAAATGCTTATATTCTTATTGATTCAAGGTCTACGCACTCGTTTGTCTCGCATGCTTTTTCACGAAAATTAAATAGACCACTGGAACCCATGAACTATTTATTAGTTGTATCTTCACCTGCTGGGGGATCTATGACTTGTGCGTATATGTATCCTACGTGTGAGATTGTTATTGGAGATGTGCTTTTATATGTTGATTTGCTACCTCTGAATCTTGATCATCTTGACGTAATTTTGGGAATGGACTGGCTAACAAAATATCATGCCTCCATTGATTGTGTAACAAAGCAAGTCATTTTTCATCCACCTGGATTGCCTGAATTTATATTTAATGGAGTTGGTGTTGTACCTCCCCCATACTTGATTTCGTCTATGAAAGCATTCAAATTGATTAGAAAGGGATGTAAAGGGTATTTATGTTGTATACTGACTGTGCCTGCTGATGCTAAAGCTAATGTGGAAAGTATTTCAATAGTCAGAGAATTCCCAGATGTCTTTCCAGATGATTTTCCAAGGGATCTGATTGACAGGGAGATTGAGTTCACTATTGAGGTGATACCGGGTATACAACCAATTTCCAAAGCTCCGTATAGAATGGCACCTACTGAATTGAAAGAATTGAAAATCCAGTTGCAAGAATTGCTGGACAAAAAGTTTATCAGGCCCAATACTTTACCGTGGGGCACACCAGTTTTATTTGTGAAAAAAAATGATGGCTCATTAAGGCTTTGTATTGACTACCGTGAATTGAAAAAGGTGACAGTGAAAACAAGTACACGTTGCCTCGTATTGATGACTTATTTGATCAACTGCAAGGTGCTTAAGTCTTTTCCAAAATTGACCTTAGATCTGGATACCACCAATTGAAAGTCAAAGCTGAAGACATTGAAAAGACTGCTTTTCGAATAAGGTACGGACATTATGAATTTCTTGTTATGCCTTTTAGAGTTACTAATGCGCCCACTGTATTTATGGACCTTATGAACAAAATTTTCAAACCGTTCCTCGATGAATTTGTGGTTGTTTGAATAAATGATATCTTGATTTATTCCAAGAGTAAGGAGGAACTTGAATATCATTTGAGAATTGCTTTACAGACCTTGAGAGAATAGAAACTATACGCAAAACTAACAAAGTGTGAATTTTGACTTGATAGTGTTATGTTTTTTGGGGCATATGATTAGTAAGGATGGCATTTCAGTTGATCCATAGAAGATTGAAGCAGTGGTGAATTGGCCTATACCAATTAATGTTACTGAAGTTTGGAGTTTCTTGGGTTTGGCCAGGTACTATCGAAGATTCGTGAAAGATTTTTTCAAAATTGCTCTACCATTGACTCAGTTGACTCAAAAGGGAATACCATTTGACTGGACCGATCAGAGAGAATCAGCTTTTCAAGAATTGAAAACTCGACTTATGACTACACCGATTCTCACCTTACCCTCAGGTATAGATGGATTTACTATTTTTAGTGATGTTTCTTATAAAGGTTTGGGATATGTATTAATGCAGAATGGTAAAGTTATTGCATATGCTTCCAGACAACTGAGGCCACATAAAAAGCATTATCCAACTCATGACTTGAAACTTGTCGCAGTAGTATTTGCATTGAAAATTTGGCGCCATTATTTATATGAGGCAACATGTGAAGTGTACACAGATCACAAGAGTTTAAAATATTTCTTTACACAGAAAGAGTTGAACATGAGACAGCGCAGATGGTTATAATTGATAAAAGACTATGACTTGCAAATTTTGTACCATCCGGGGAAAGCTAACACCGTTGCTGATGCACTTAGTCAGAAATCAATTGAGAATTTGGCCTGTTTACTCACCAGACAGAAAGAATTGCGACATGACCTTGAGAAACTTGAGGTTGAAATTGTTTTGCGGGAATAAGGTGGGATATTGGCTGCTATTTCTACTCAGCCGGCACTTATTGAGGAAATTAAAGAGAAGCAACAACAAGATAAATTTCTGAAAAAGATTATTGATGAACGGAAATGCAAACCGAGGCCAGATTTTAGATTTGAAAACGATGTGTTGAAATTTCAAGGAAGGTTGTGTGTACCAAATAATCCTGAATTGAAAAGGCGAATGTTGCAAGAAGCCCACAGTTCAAAACTTTCCATCTATCTGGGAAATACAAAAATATACCAAGATTTGAAGCTTAATTTCTGTTGGCCGGGAATAAAGAAAGAAATTGTTGAGTTTGTGTCGAAATGCCTACATTGCCAACAAGTCAAAGCCGAACATCAACGACCTGCGGGTTTGCTTCAACCTTTGCCGATACCGGAGTGGAAGTGGGAGCATATCACTATGGATTTCATTGTTGGATTGCCTCGCTCTAGTAGAGGTATGGATTCAATCTGGGTTATTGTTGATCGATTGACTAAGTCTGCTCATTTCTTACCGGTCAAAACAATTTATAATGCGGATAAGTTGGCCACAATTTATATTAATGAGATTGTTAGATTGCATAGAGTGTCTGTGTCCATTATTTTTGATAGGGACTCGAAGTTTTCATCGAGATTTTGGCAAAGTCTGCAAATGGCATTGGGTACCGAATTGAGATTGAGTAGTGCATAACATCCTCAAACAGATGGCCAATCAGAAAGAACAATCCAAACCCTGGAGGACTTATTACGTATGTGTGTGCTTGATTTCCAAGGGAACTGGGAAAGTCACTTGCCATTGGCAAAATTCGCCTACAACAATAGCTTCCATTCGAGCATTGGTATGGCACCTTTCGAGGCCTTATATGGCAGAAAATATCGGTCTCCTATTTGTTGGGCAGAAGTTGGAGACGGGCCTTTACTTAGGCCTGAGATTGTAAATGAAACAACAGAAAAGGTGAAATTAATCCAACAAAGATTGAAAACCTCACAAAGCCGACAGAAAAGCTACGCAGATGTCCGAAGATGAGACAAGGAATATGAAGTGGGGGATCATGTTTTTATTAAAGTAACACCAATGAAAAGGCAGACTCGTTTTGGAACCAAAGGCAAGTTAGCACCAAGGTATGTTGGGCCGTATGAGATTATTGAAAAGTTTAATCCGGTGGCATATCAGGTAGCTCTTCCTCCCAAAATGGACATATGCATAATGTCTTTCATGTTTCAATGTTACGGAACTATCTATGGGATTCTTTCCATGTTATTGAGCCTACCCATGTGGTATTGAGTGATGACTGCACTTATGAAGAATGGCCTATTCAGATTGTAAACCGACGAATCAAGAAGTTGAGAAATAAAAAAATCCCGTTAGTAAAAGTGGATTGGCAAAACCATAGGGGCGTTTACGCAACTTGGGAAAGGGAAGATGACATGATGAAAAGATATCCTAAATTGTTCCCTTTGAATCCGGTGTTATTCCAAAATGAAAATAATTCGAGTTTGGAGGACCAAACTCTTTTAAGGGGGGAAGACTGTGACAACCCCAACTCATGGTTAACGCTAATTCATGATTGAGCATACTAAGTAAATGATTAAGACGAAATCCTAAATTAATCATGTGAGTGTGTTGCTTTAAATGCATTCTTATCTGTTTGATATAGATAGATCTGTTCACGTTTTAATTTCGATTTGCGAATTGAAAGTCTTATCGGCAACCAATTCAGAAATTGACTTGTTTTATATGCTAATTAGGAATTATAGAATTTTTTGGTAGATTTAATTGGAATCTGATTTAGAACGATTAAACTAGAATAAATAATGCTAATTAATTTAGGCCTGGTTTGGCATGTTTAAAAAAAAGCTAAAAAGTCAAAAAGTCACTATCCTATTTAAGTCACATCATCTTATTTAAGTCACATCACCTCTCTAACACATCACTTCAAACCCAACCCATATTTCATAAAAAGTCAAAAAGTGCACTTATTTATAACATCCCAAATAACCCCTTAGCTTAAGTTATTTACATGTTTGCCATGAAATGGGCTTTTACAAGACCATTTTTCCACTTTATACATGCTTTGACACCATCAATTTCCATCTTCTTGCACAAAAACGTGAGAGAGAGAGAGAGAGAGAGAGAGAGAGTAGGAAGGAAATTGAGCTTAACAAGACAATTGCTTGAGATTTAGAAGAATTGAAAAGGACTTGGAGGATTAAGCTACCACACTTGGGAATTCAAGACTGAAGGTAGGAATCCACCCTTTTAATTGTGAAATAAAATTGTTTAATGCATGGGTTCATGGAAATTAGAGACTAAAGTCAAGAAATGGCCTAAAGAGTAGATTTGAGAATCAATTCATGCATGCATGTCCATATCATGGAGTTTTGAAGTTGTTTTCATGAAATTCTCACATGCATGTTCATATTATAGTTGTAATCTAAGAATTCATCATGTTTTGGGAAAGAATATCTCATGTGATCATGTGTTGGAAGTTATGAATACATACATGGCATAATTACATCATGTTCTTTCATTTCAAGATGAATTTTGCACAATTGGCATGCTTTTGGGCCTTGATTTCATGCAATGATCTTTAAATCATGATGTGTTATGAGTTTCTAAGTGTTTTCCAGAATTTTGGCCCAAAAGGATGAGTTTTGGAATTTGAATCCATGGTTTGAACCTTGGGAGCAAATCTGGAAAATCCAGAATTTATCTTCCATGCTCGAGCGAAGGATTTCACGCTCGAGCGACCACCTTCATTTTTACACTTTTGCTCGAGTGACAAAAGGCTGGCTCGAGTGTAATTGTCAAGCTCTTAGAAATTTGCGTGTGTAGAAGCACGCTCGAGCGACAAGACTTGTGCTCGAGCAAGGAACTGTGTCTCACACTCGAGCGAGCGTCGAGTGAGCGTCGAGTGGAGATTTCAAGCAACCAGAACTTTTCACATTTTTGCAGACCGCTCGAGCAAAGGAGTCTACGCTCGAGCGACCACTCACATTCGGTATGTCCGCTCGAGCGAAGAAAGTTACGCTCGAGCGAGACCCCTGTTTTCAGCAAGTTTTGAAAAACATTTTCAATTACACTTTTGCATCCCCATTCCATCCTAGGCATTCCTAAGCCATAATTAAGACATCATAATGAGGAATGATGAAATAAAACCCCACCAAAAAAAGAAAAGGGGACTAAGTTATCAGTTTCGGGTGTGTAATTTAGTGTGCGTTTGTTTTGTAACTGTGTAGGTTTCGCACCCAAGGAAGCTGAATAGCCTGCTTACAGCCTTGTTATCTGTGAGTAACAATGTTGTAAAGCTATGTTCAATTACAATTATTATAGCGATCCTGGTATTCCCTGTTGTCGTTTAACTGTAATCCAGACTCGGTTCCGTAGATTCATTGCTGTCTTATCCTCTTTCTATTCCTTTCTCTTTGTGTTCGAGCTTTGGGTTGTGTTGGGCAAGTTGGGAATAAGTTGGTCGTGTTTTAAAACGTAAAATCTTTGCCCAGTTTTTGGTCCCTCCGCTCGAGCAGCGCTTTTGACGCTCGAGCGGGACTCCGTTGTTGCTTGTCCGCTCGAGCGAGGGTTTTGGCGCTCGAGCGGGGAAATCACCCATCCAGTATTTCGTCTGCAGTAGTATGCGCTCGAGCAGGGGATTGGACGCTCGAGCGGGAATATGTGTCTGATGCTCGAGCGGGGAGTTTGACGCTCGAGCAGGCATCATGTCTGTAAAAGTTCTGGGAGCGTGCATCCGCCGCTCGAGCGGGGGATTGGACGCTCGAGCGGGGATCTGTGAGTGACGCTTGAGCGGGGAGTTCGACGCTCGAGCGGGGCGACTTTTATATAAAGCCGAGATATGACTTTTTTGTTCACTTTTCAACATCCTTTCTCTCTCCTACTTTTCCAAAAAGCTATTTTGAGAGTTCCTCTCACTAAAACCCTAACTTCTCTCTTAGGATTGATCTAGTAGGAGTTGTTTTCTCACCTTGGGCCTTTACAAAAGTTGTGTTGATCGTCGAGGGCTATCTTTTAATCTAAAAATTTCGGGATTTGGAGCATTTTCGTTTCTTCGTCTCCTTCGTTGAGCACCATCATTCGAGGTAGGGATAACCTACTCCATCTTATGAACTTTGTCTTTGAATTTTAGCATTTTGATATGTTGGGGGCAGTTGGGTAATTTTGAGAAAGTTTGGGCCTTGTGTAATTTTACAAAAGTTGG